CATCCATCCATCCATCCATCCACCCACCCACCCATCCATCCACCCACCCAACCATCCATCCATCCATCCATCCGATCATTTAGTAACTATGTCTTGAGCTCTAACTGTACATGAGGCACCATGCTGGGCTCAGGGGTGGCTGTGGCTGAGGCAAACATGTCCTGGTGCAGCCAGAGCTCCCAAGAGAGAAAGGCAGCAGGCTGGAGGTTCCAGCTCAGTGTGACAGCAAGGAGACAGCAGGAGAGAAGCACAGACGCTCCCCACCCTCTTCCCAGCTTGGGCAGGCAGGAGGGCTTTGGGAGGAAGTCCCAGATGGGGAGGAGGAAGATGTCAAGGGGAAGACACGTGTACCAGGTGGGGACAACATATACAGCATCCTAGAAGCAGAAGCCAGCATAGTGTGTTTGAAGAGCTGCAGTTATTAACAGAATCCAAGCCTCTTCTGGTGGGGGACAAAAAGGCCCTAGAGTAAGTGAGCAAGGACCACAGGCCTGTGGAGAGCTCTCTCCCTGGTGCCTGGGAGGCCCACCTACCACTCCTGGCCATGGCTCCAGGCCTCCCGGCTCTAGTTTATAGGGCAGGACAGTGGATGCAGTGCCCCAGTCCCACCACCCATGGTGGACACTGCAAACCCTCCCTTACTACCTTGATGAGGTGGGGGGCAACCCAGAGACAGAAGCGTTGCGTTCAGGATTGGGACACTGCCAAGTCCCCAGGTGTCTGTCTCAGGTCTATGCCTCTATCCTGGGTCCTGCCTACCTCTCCCCTCCTCCTAGCAGGTCCTTAGGCTCACATCATCCCTCTGTACCCAAGGACGTGGGCTCCCCTAAAATCTGTACCCAGAGGCAGCCTTGGCCTGTTGCCTTGTGCCTTCCCCGTGGGTAGGTCCTGAGCGATCTCTTCTCCTAAGGTCTGGTGGTCTCCGGGAAAGATTTTCCTCATCCCACTCATCTTTATGCTGAGAGAATTCACAATCTCCTCTTTTAGCTCCTGTGCAGGTTGCTTTGCCCAGCTTTAGTTGCTGCCATCACCAAGGACAAGGGTGAGCCAGGGAGTGAAATGGGATACGCAGAAAGAGGGAGGGAGAGAGAGAGAGGGAAAGCACATATTGGCATAGCTGTTGTTGCAGTGTGTTGTTATAGCCGTTCTGTTTTATTACAACAGTGGTACCTCAGTTCACGAACTTAATTTTTTCCACCATTCTGGTCGCCAACCAAATTGGACAAGAACCAAATCAAATTCAATGGTCAGGTTCAGTGTTGAGCTTGCTGGGAAATCTGATCTGGTGCTGCGTGTCGCTGGCCTCTGCAGCACTTGGTCTGTGCAGAGCTTGGAGATTTGTCTCTAAGTGGAGTTTGGGTCGGTGGCCCTGTCCTGTCCCGCTCTCTGAGGAGAAAGTGAGGGTTTCTGGGGAGCAGGGCTTACAGCCATACTCTCAGCCTGGCTTGGGGAGCACTTCCTCAGTCTCCTAGGTCCTGAAGGCCGCCCTCTGCCCCGCCAGACTGGGAAGTGGAGCTGTGGCTGTGCACAGAGTGCACCAGATGATTCCTGAGCAAGTGTCGGCACCTGCCACAGTCCACCCCTTCCCTCTGAGCCCCCAGCCAGGACTGCGGGCTCCCTGCTTACCATGAGCTGAGCCAAATCTTGGAGGTGCAGGGGAGGCTGGGCCTGATGACCACCCAGATGCCTGCTGCCCACTGTGCCCAAGTCCCCTACACACCCTAGGGACCATCTCTCCCCCTTCGTCTCCTCCCTGACTCTCTGGGTCTCTGTCCCCTGGCCTGACTGAGTCTTCACCCTGTTGTCGGGTTTGTTCTCCCACTCGCTCCTGTCCTGGGCAGCCCTCACTTCTACTCGACTGGGAACAAGGCCTCAAGGGCTCAGTTGTCTTGAGTTCTGATCTCCTGGCTGCAGCCCCCAGCTCTGAGCCTCAGCTCTGGGGCTCTGGGTGAGTCACCATCTCTGTCTCTGAGTCCCCCTATCTGGGCAGTGGGGTGGTTCTGAAGGCTGAATGACACTGAAGCACCTAGCATGTGACCAGTATCAGCCGCCCCTGCTGTGGTCCTGGTTATAACTCCTGACCAGCTCTCTCCTGGGCTCAGGGGCTGGGGAAGCCAGCTCTCTGGTGTTCCGTCTAGGAGGAGACGTCCTTTTGGGGGTTACGGAGCCCCGGGGGCCGCTATTCCCTTCTTAGGCCCAGGCCCAGGCCCTCTCCATGGCCAGATGGCTGGGGGTCGGTGGGGGAGGGGGGAGCTCCTCTGCCTCCCAGCCTGTGCCCAGCCTGCAGGGTGGTGGCAGAGCCTGCTCCCAGGCCGCCTCCACCTCTGACTCTGCAGACCAGTTTCTGGAAAGGGTGGGGCAGGGGCTCAGCTTCTGTGGACCCGCCCCGGGGTGGGGAGTGCTGGGCTTCAGAATAGCCCCAGTTGAGGAGGGGCAGGTTAGGCTGCAGAAAGACCAGGCTGACTCGAGTCCCACAGTGTGGCCAGGGGCACTTAGCCTTTGGGGTGTGACTGGACCCTGAGAGTCCAGCCTGCTCGGTACCACCAAGAGGGAGATCCAGTGGGAGCTGGGGAAGGTGCTGCTGTGGTGGTGAGATACTCCCCTCCCTCCTGTGGATGTCCCCAGGTCACTCCCACACTGGGGATGGGGAAACTGAGGTTCAAAGAGTTTAAACAAAGGGGCCTGCTCACTTAGTAAGTGGATTTGAACCGGATCTGTGAGCCGTACAGCCAGGACTCTGTCTAGTGTGTGGACCTTGTCAACGGTGGAGCACCTCACGTCTCCCCAGGGTGCAGTGCCTGGCCAGAGATGGAGCCTGTAAACTGCCTGGGGGTGGCTCTAGGCCAGGCACAGGGCACCGAGTAAGGGAGGTTGGCCTGGAGGTACCTGCCAGAGCAGGAGGGGGGCAATGGGAGCCCATCCACACGTCCTGGAGCTGTGGATCCTGGGAGCAGTCATGCTCGCTTTGTCAGTGGGTCACCCCATGGTTCCCCAGAGAGTGGGTGAACCTCAGGGCTTCAGGGACACCTGCAGTCTCTCTCTGTCTTACTTCCCAGCTAGAGGGAGCTGCTGTTTTTCTTCCTTCTTCCTGGGCTTTCCCACTCTTCAGTGCCTTTTCCTACCCCAGGAATGCCCTTCCTTCCTCTCGGCCTACCTCACTTCTCCCATCCCTGGGGGCTTGCTCAAGTCCCTGCTTCTCCAAGAAGCCTCTGGCCCCGTGCTGAGTCCCTGTGGCTTCCTTGGTGTCCCTAATGCTGCCCTGACAATCCCGTGCTGAGGCCCACTCCCGCTGGCTGTGGTTCTCAAGAAACCAGGCCCGGTACCCAGCCCAGCCCTTCCTCCCTGGCACAGCTGCAGCCCCAGCCAACTGCTCATCCCTGGTTCTCAGTCCCCACCCCGGCAGCTACAGGAATTGAAGTAGCTCTCTTAAAGACCCCGGAGAAAAATGCTTCACACAGGCCCTGGAGTGGGGGCAGGGCCGCCCTGCCC